TGTGCGGGAGGAGCAGGGCCGCCTCGCTGGGTCGCTGCTCGGTGCCTGAGGGCCACTTTCCGGGCCACCTGGTGGACGTCGGCGGAACTGGGACCCTGTCCCAGAGCCACCAGTATGAGGTGTGTCTGAGGGGAGGCTCTGGGACCAGCGAGCTGAAATTTCTGAAGCCGATTGTGCCCAGTTTCCAGGGCCATTCCCCTAGACCAGATATAGAAGAAAATTCCAACTTTAGGAATGACTTTGATTTCAGTATTCAGTGACAATAATTGGTTTTCCATATATTTAAAATTGATGATAAGTTCAAGGTGATGGTTTTTCTGGCAAGATATTATAAATTTTTTAATTACACTAAACTTGCTTGCAAAATTTCTTATATTATCCCTTTGTTTTTGAGAATAGTATCTTTTCTTCATTACCGTTAGAAGATGAATGTCCCTAAATCTTGCCTCTCAAAACACTAATGAAGTCAATAGTTGTACAAATCCTTGTTCTGGAATAGCTTAAGAATGTATCGGGGGAAAAAAACAGTGAGATGTTAGTTCTATATAATCTATTGTATTTCCTTGAGTTTTTCTTATTCCTTTTTAAACCTTTAGGTATATAAGAGCAGTTATGCACTAACACACTAAAGTGTGCCTAATGGGGAAGAAAAGAGACCTGGTACAGTGAGAATCTGGCTCTAGCTTTATTCTGCCCTTGTAGCACTTATCTTTGATATCGTTTTCTCTTAAAATGTTATACAAATTGTGCTTCCTTTCATTAATATACCAGTGTTAGTTTTAATATAATTATTTTAATTGCTTTCCATTTAGTTTCACTGATGTTAAAAGGGGAAAAAGCTACATCATGTTTATCCAGTGAGATGAAATAGCATAGTAGTGAAATTGGCTTTTCCCATTTGAGAAACGTTGAACACATGATAGAAAACGGAGTGGCCACCCAATGTCCATTCATATTTTCTTCTTTAGTAACAGACCCCAAATTTCATTTAGGGCATTAGTGTGCTCAGTCAAAAGAATACATTTTCCTGCCTCCTCAGCCACTAGAATGGGGCATTTGACTAGGTTATAGTCAATGCGATGTATATACAAATGTTGTGGGAGACTTCCAAGAAGGCTGCTTAAAAGGAGATGACTCATCTAGGAGAGGTCCCTTTTTGTCCTTCTCTAACTGCTCCCTGTTGCTTGAAATGTGTAAGTCATGGTTGGAAAACAACCATCCATGGTGGGGCATAAAGCAACACTAAGGATGGAAATAATGGATGAAGACAGTCAGTATAGAATAAACTTAAAAGAGATGGGGGTCCCTGATGATCACAGAATCATTATGTCATCCATGGATTGCCTACTTCTGAACTTTTTTTACTTTAAAATAAAGGAACTTCTAACTAATTTAAGCCACCATCACTTTAGTTTTGTGCTACCTCCAGTAGAATCCAATCCTAATGCTTTAACAGTACGATATTTTATTAAAATGTTATATAATACAGTAAAATATGCAGATCTTAAGTGTATGGTTTGATCTAACTGATCTTTTTTATTTCTTTATTTCTAATTTAGTTAAAAGTAGTGGAAAGAGTGCTTTACATTCATTGTCTTTTTAATCCTCTGCCAAACCTTAAGAGAGTTGGCATATTATCCCCTCTTTTACATATGAGAAAACTGAAGCTTAGAAAGGTTAAGGAAACTTGCTCACAATTCTGAAGTAATAAAAGGAAAAATTTGAAATATATTCTAAGTCTACTTGAATTGAATGCTCCAGTTCTTAGTCCATAAACTATAATGGCGGGCATTACCTGTAGCATTGTCTTCCTAACTAAGGAAGTGAAAACCTTCTATTCCATGAACTGAACTCCTAGGTAACTTTTAGTCTATAGTTTGTATTTGTTTCTATACCAATGGCCACACTGCTCTGGACCAATAAACCCAAAGTTCCTTTAGAAGCACTGACCTAAGTAAGTGGGATCAGACACCACAATTGATCTTCATCATGAGTGAATCAGCCTGATTATCTTCCTGTACCTTCTCAACTTATCACATTCATTATTGCAGAAATGAATGCCCTGAATAGGGAGTAGAGTTACCCTATGGTTGTATTTCTTTAATTTCTTTTACTATTCCTTCAATCTTTTTCTGTCATCCCTAATATACATTTTTTATTTTCTTGGGAAAATTGAAACTTGCTTTATTATGTATATCATTGTAAGTCTCTTATTCAGATTAAATATACTGTATTCATTTTAGCATACCATTTGTTTGAAAGCAGTATTAATTCTAAATGAAATAACTAATTTCAGACAAGTATAGGCAATGCTGTGGAGGAATTTTTATCACTAAATAATTTAGAGATTCTGGAAATTTAGTAGTAAAAAACTGATAGGCTCCTGTTATTTTCTGTGAAAATTAACCATATGTCTTTGGCAACTCCTCTTAAAAAGTATGCTGAAAAAAGATGTGGAGGTCATAAAGGACTTTATTCTGAAAGGATGGCTCACCAGAACTGAATCAGACATTCTTCAGCATTTGCTGTAATAATATTATTGTTGTAGAGTGATAAATTTTTGTTGACTCAGCTGCTAGGTGCATGAGAATCCATGCTTGTGTTATGTATTAGATTTCTGTTGCTGCTATAAAAAATTATCACACACATAGTTGCTTAAAACAATAAAAATGCATTACCTTATAGTTCTGTAGATCAGATTTCCAATATGGGTCTTCCTGGGCTAAAATCAAGGGCTCAGAGGGAGTGCATTCCTTTCTGGTGGCTCTAGAGGAGAATCCATCTCTTTACCTTTTGCAGCTTCTAGACACTGCATACATTACTTGACTCATGGCCTCCTTCATCCGTCTTCAAAGCCAGCAGCGTTGTATCTCTTTGACCCTTCTCCCATAGTCACATCTTCCACTGACCATAGCCAGGACAGTTTCTGTCCCACCCAAATAATACAAGATAATCTTTCTTTCACAAGGTCCTCAATTTAATTATATATATGAAGTCTCTTTTGCCATGTAAGATAACACATTTACAGATTTTGGGAATTAGGGCCTGGACATCTTTGGGCGGGCGGCCATTACTGTGCCTACCACTTGGAATAATGGCTGCTTGGAAGAAAATTACCCAGTTTAGTAGTATCACTTGTGGCCAAAGGAAGGCACATAAAGGTCTTTATACCAGGAATTCAGGCCTCATTGATTAGATGCTTTTACCAGACAAGGTAATTAATAAACTTCTAAAAATCATTAACAAAAACACTGAATTGATAAAAATATCATGAATTTTCACTGCAATTCACTTCAAATTATAGAAATGGAAAAACTGAACAAAAGAACACAAATCTGATAAGGGACTTGTATCTGGAATATATAAAGAACTCTTACAACTCAATTATAAAAAGACAACCCAATTTAAAAATAGTGAAGATCTGAATAGACATTTTTCCAAGGAAGAAATACAAATGGACAATAAGCCAATGAAAAGATGTTCAACATCATTAGTCATCCGAGAAATGCACGTTAAAATCAATGACATACTGCTTCACACCCACTAGAATGGCTAGAATCAAAAAGTCCAATAACAACAAGTGTTGGGAGGATACGGAAAAATTGGAATGCTGATAAACTGCTGGTGGGAATGTAAAATGGTGCAGCTGCTTTGGAAAACAGTCTGGCAGTTCCTCAATTAAACATGGAGATACCATGTGACCTAGCAATTCTACTCCTAGAGAAATGAAAACATATGTCCACACAAACACTTGTACATGAATATTTATAGCAGCATTATTCATAATAGGCAAAAGGTAGAAACAACCCAAATGTCCACCAACGGAAGAATGGATAAGCAAAATGTAATATACCTATACAGTGGAATATTATTCAGCCATAAAAAGGAATGAAATACTGATACGTGGTACAACTTGGATGAACCTTGAAAACATGCTAAGTGAAAGAAGCGAGTCACAAAATTCCACATATTATATTATTCCATTCATATGAGAGTCCAGAATAGGGAAGTCTATAGAGACAGAAAGTAAATTAGTGGTTGATTAGGGATTGGGGCAGGAGAGATGGGGGAATAGGAGGATGATAGCTCAAGGGTATGGGGTTTTTGAGGTGATGAAAATGTCCTAAAATTGACTGTGGTGGTGGATGCACTACTCTGTGAATATGCTAAAAGCCACTGAACTATACACTTTAAATGGGTGAATTGTATGGTATGTGAGTTATACCTCATTAAAGCTGTTTTTAAAAAAAGAATAAAAACAAAATTTATTTGTGTCATGATAATAATTATAAAAGGAATCCAAAAGTATGGCAGGCCTAACCTTGAGATCTGCCTATTTGGGAAATAATTTTCCAATAATTAAAAATTGTGAAACCTAAGTTGTCAGGCTTAGGTATTGGAAAGAAGAGGAACTAATCTACTCTTTAATAAGGTATTGGTTAAATATTCTCTTTAGAACTGCCACTGATTGCAATTTTGCAGTGTCCACTCATTTGTAATTCTATAATATGTACCACGAAAAAGATGTACTTGTGGGCCAGCCCAGTGGCATAGTGGTTAAGTTTGCACGCTCTGTTTGGGAGCCTGGAGTACAGGAGTTCAGATCCCGGGCACAGACATAACTGCCAATTATCAAACCATGCTGTGGCAGGCGTCCCACATGATGTAAAGTAGAGGAGGATGAGCACAGATGTTAGCCCAGGGCCAATCTTCCTCAGCAAAAAGAGGAGGATTGGCAACAGATGTTAGCTCAGGGCTAATCTTCCTCACCAAAAAAAAAAAAAAAAACAATGTACTTGTGAAACTGTTCCCATGTTACTTCGAAAACATTTTGCTCCTAAATGTATGTTTTTTTAGCTTAAATGTTAATTAAATTATCTTATTTAATCATTAACCCTCAACGGCCATAAACAGTCAATAACATAAATGACAGTTTGCTCTTTGTACTCTTCCTGTGCAACAACACAGAGATCAAGCTGAACACAACAAAACCACATGAAAATAGAGCTCAGTGTTTTATATTACAGAACACGGTTTATACAACCTATTCGGAACATTTAGGAGAATTTTGCATTCAATGGTAAACCAGAACATATAAGATGCAGTGAGGACACATGGTGGCGCTGCAGGTTAAATCATGGAAAACAGACTTGCCTATGCAGCTCCAGTATCCAGCCAAACAGTTTCACGCTGCCTGGAAGCTAAAGAATAGCTTTCTCAGCCAGAGCAAAAGTGAGTGCGAAACCTCTTTAAAACTCTATTTGGCGGCATAGTTCTGACACTCTGGACTGCAGGACCGGGCTACAAGGATCCTGGGCGGCATACGTGAAGCTCCTGTGAACCCAAATTTCAGGAAAGAGCAATGGAGATTGGATGGATGCGCAATCAGAGGCAAAGGCAAGTCCTAGTTTTCTTTGTTTTGCTGAGCATGTCTGGGGCGCGCGCCGAGTTGGGGCCCTATTCAGTAGTGGAAGAAACGGAGAGAGGCTCCTTTGTGGCAAATCTAGGAAAAGACCTGGGGTTAGGGTTGACAGAGATGTCCACCCGGGGAGCCCGGATCATTTCCCAGGGTAACAAAGAGCATTTGCAGCTCAAGGTTCAGACTGGGGATTTGCTCATAAATGAGAAACTAGATCGAGAGGAGCTATGCGGTCCCATTGAGCCTTGCTTACTACATTTCCAAGTGTTAATGGAAAAACCTTTAGAGATATTTCAGGCTGAACTGAGGGTGAAAGACATAAATGACCATTCTCCCGTGTTCACTGAAAGAGAAATGATTCTAAAAATACCGGAAAACAGTCCTCTAGGAAATGCATTCCCTTTGAGTAATGCTCTAGACTTGGACGTAGGAAGCAACAATGTTCAGAACTATAAAATCAGCCCCAACTCCCATTTCCGGGTTCTAACCCGCAATCGCAGTGACGGCAGAAAATACCCTGAGCTGGTCTTGGACAAGGAACTGGATCGAGAGGAGGAGCCTGAAATCTCCTTAACCCTGACGGCGCTGGATGGCGGCTCTCCGCCTCGGTATGGGACCGCCCAAGTGCGCATTGAAGTGGTGGACAGCAATGATAATGCCCCTGAGTTTGGGCAGCCTCTCTACAAGGCGCATATTCCCGAGAACAGCCCCATAGGCTCCCTGGTTGTCATCGTCTCTGCCAGCGATTTAGACAGTGGAATCAATGGAAAAATATCTTACACACTCTTTCAGCCTTCAGAAGATACTAGCAAAACTTTGAAGGTAAATCCTATGACAGGCGAAATTCGACTGAGAAAACAAGTAGATTTTGAAACCGTTCAGTCTTACGAAGTGGATATCAAGGCCACTGATGGGGGAGGTCTTTCAGGAAAATGCACTCTTCTCCTGCAGGTGGTGGACGTCAACGATAATCCCCCAGCAGTGACCATGTCCGCACTCACTAGCCCCATCCCAGAGAACTCACCTGAGATTGTAGTTGCTGTTTTCAGTGTTTCAGATCCTGACTCCGGGGAAAATGGGAAGACTATTTCCTCCATCCAGGATGACCTTCCTTTTCTTCTAAAACCTTCAGTCAAGAACTTTTACACCTTGGTAACGAAGAGAGCGTTAGACAGAGAAGAAAGAGCCGAGTACAACATCACCATCACCATCACCGACATGGGATCCCCCAGGCTGAAAACCCAGCACAACATAACCCTGCTGGTCTCCGACGTCAATGACAACGCCCCCGCCTTCACCCAAACC